TATTTAATTGATTTTAGGCTTTTCTGGACTGTTTCAGGAGCTAACTATTCTTCATTATTATTATTATTATTATTATGAGCCCCATTAGAGATGCTTTTCTTGGTTCTTAATCTTAATTTCAGCCTCTTAAATATAACCATAATCAATTCAGACCACAGCGGCACCATCCAGACATTTGTTGCAGGTTCGAATGTGTCTGGATTCAAACCCAAAGAGGGAGAAAAGAAGGTTGTGGAGCAGGAGCCAGGTTCCAGTGGCCCTGCCAAGGTCAGCATTCCTCTCTGAGCTGTTGCCGGGCGGAACTTTTGTTTCTCTGTTTAGTATAAACCTCGGAGGCCGAGACGGCAGCTACATATTTACCCTGGAGCAAAGAGACGGAGCACGTTTGGATGTTTTAACACAAGAATTTTATGCGCCACATTTTGCTTCTTTTTTTAAAATTCACGCTTCTCTGGTTTTGACGTAGATTTGGCGCACTATATGTAAAAAAAAAAACTAACTACTTTGGAGGATATCAAATATCAACCATTAGAAGTTCGTAAAAATTTGAATCGAGCAAATTATTATGACTTTTTTTTAATGTAATGTTCATTAATGTGTAAACACTACCAATGTTAGCTACTTTCTTTTAGTAGCAGGTCCGGCCTAAACATCTTGGTTGGATTTTAGCATTTAATGTTGCGTTCAGGTGATAACTCTGAGGCTGATATGTTTCTGTGTTATGAATTAATATGTCAACTTAGAAGTAAAAGACTTGAGTTCGGGAGTTTCTGGGCTGGGAAAAGAATCCCAAGTTTCAACGACAGCTTTTGAGTCGAACAGCAAGTTGGAAAGAAACAAAAACCAGTTATTGCTTCACAATTAAGCTGCTTACTAGTCAGAAACTTTTTTTTAAAGAAAGTTTATCACTTTTCAGAAAGTCATCCTTTTCAGTGACCACCGAGTTGCATTTTCACAACCTTTCAGGGACATTTCTGACATCAGAAAACCATAGAAACTTTTCAGTTAGTTCAATAAGTACTTTTTTTTTTTTACACAAAAAATATTCATTCAAATGTACACCAGTAAATTGCACACGTTCTCCTAAAATCAATTGCAAAGAATCAGTTCTAAAAATTAGTTTGATCCTATTTGTTCCTGGCCAAAAACAAAACAACAAAAGAAAAAAAAGACACAAATTGTCACAGTTGGCAAACAAAAGGTCAACACGAACACACAGGCATGTTCAGATAAACGAGTCAAAGAGAAAAAATAAACAGCAGGTAATGATAGCAGTATAAAAATCGAAGAAGCAAGTCTGCGATCAGTGCATGGACCAGAGTTGCAGAATGAGGTCAGACATGCGCCGCGTCTCTCCGGCTTTTTTGATCGCTGTGCTTTTTGGAATAACAACAAGACGAAACGCTGGATCGCCTCGTTTAAAAACGAGAAAAAGCGGCTCGTGGCGGGCAGCAACACGGCCGGCCGCACACAGAGCTCATTAGGAGCGGAAAGGCGCAAGCCAGCTTGTGTTCTCCCTCAGAGGCCCCGCAGCTGCAGGCCGCACTCTGAAACGGGAAGGAAAAGGCCCCACGCCCTCACACACACATTAATATTTACTAACCTAAATTATTCATTGCGTCTCATAAAAATAGCTGCAAATCAGAGCAAGCCGAGAGCAACAAAATACCTGGACTGGAGCAAACGCGTTTCAGATAAACAGATGTGAAAATGACCGCAAGTCTGAGTACTAAAAAAAAATAAAATAAAGTGAATAATTTCGTATTAGAAAATACAATTTTTTTTCTTCACACAGAATCGAACTGCATAATTTTTATATTATTCTTTTACACTTATGTTGTGTTTTCTTGTGTTTTTTATGCTTCAGGCCTAAACAAATGTCAGGGTAACGTTGTGCTTTTTGATGCACCAAAAATATAGTCATAAAAACTTGTTTCTAAATACGTTTACTGACTTTTGTTAGGCTCGTGTGTTGTTAAAATTATATTGGAAACAAAAACAACAAATAAAAACCCCTACTTGGAATCAGATTCAGACATTTATGTTTTTCCATGTCAAGATGAATAAAACAAGAAGAAAAAAAGCCATTAAATAATTTATTAGTTATTTGTTGATATTAATAATACAAAACCTGTTTTATGTTTCATGTTCATGCAGATACGCTGTTTTGTACACAAACAACTTATGTGCTTCTACAATATTTATTTATTTATATAAGGTGTGCAAAGAATTTTTTAAAATTTATTGTCGGTTTTATTTTGCTGCTTCACTAAACCTGGCAGCAGCAGAAATCCACTTCACTCATCATTGTTGCGACGTGACGTCGACGGTTGCGCACGTGCGTACAAAGTGCTGCGTTTTCCATAAAAGGTAAAGTGAGAAAGAGAAGAAAAAAAAATCCCAACGCTTCCATTTGGTGATTTATTCATGCACACAGCGTGGACGGTAGTGGAAATTCTTCCTAATTTCCCCAGCTACTTTTTTTTTTTTTTTTTTTTTTTTTGGCTTTTTGTGATGAATTAATATCGTGTTTTACCAGAGGCGCTGTTCTCCTGCCAGGAGCCGCGCACCTGCGCATGCGGCAGCATATTTGCGCCTCGAACTTCTTGCCCAGGCTGCTGCTGCTGCAGCTGCTGCTGCTGCTGCTGCTGCTCGCTTTATTGACGACCAAATCAAACACATGGTTGGGACGAGGAGCGGGCCGTTTGGTTCGGTTGGAGTCTTTTGGGTCCCTCAGTGTTTGGCTGTGTGAAAGATGCTGCAAAAAAAGAAAAACAACAACAACAACAAAAAAAAAAAACGCCTAAATTAATCAGAAATGTATTTTAAATAAACACTCGAATTATTAAAAATATGTTCTATAATCAAGTTGATGTGCATCGTGTTTTAGCTATAGTTAAGCAAATGAGAAAAATACCTGATATCTGCACTGAAAAAATACATTTTTGGAAAGTGCTGATGTTTTTTTCCAGCACAATAGAAGTGATTCAGGAACGTTGGTGCACGTAGTGGTGTGGCTTTCAGTTCAAACAACAATAACTTAATTCTCCTAACAAATCCAGCCACAATGCATGTCGGTTCAGCCCACTTTAGCTACATGCTATCAGCTAAGGCTAACATTAAAAACCGGCTTGCAAGCTGCTTCATCCGTTCCTATTAAAAGAAACAAGAACTAAAGAATTGGTTTCACGGTTAAAAAGGTTAATAATTCAGCAACAAACATTTTAACCTCATTCTACAAAGAGGGATGTTGGTCTTAACCCTGACAACCACCACTAAGATGTGCTCGTTAGCAAATGATTAGCAGCAGTCACGTGGCTCTTCTTAGCGACACTGTTTTGACCTATGTTTATAATATAAGCCACATAAACATATCGGCCTTGCTGGGCATCGTCTACCGTGCATCGATATCACCCGTATCGTCTCTTCACCCGTATCGTCTCCGCCTCGTCTGAAATAGCCGCTAATTGGCTCCTGAACAATGTCAGGTGAGTTTTGTTCCCAAAACCAAGCCCAGGTGGGAGTTGAATAATTCAATAGCTTAATATTTAATATGCTCCAAATGTCATTTTCATGGTGTAAGGATCTCAACCCTGCAGGGAAAATGTTGAATGAAGAATCTATTTAATCAAGGCTTGATTTAAAAAAAAAAAAAACTGTTCCATTTTAAAAATTGGTACAATTTTACTGATTTAGTTGAATGAGTAAAAAAATATATAGTTGGAATTCTGCGTGTTTTTGTTGTGAACTTCCCGTCCCCACCCGAATTTACTGATCCAAACGCTCCCCAATGAAATGAATGCATTTATTTTATTGATTAAATTCGAACATTTTTGTTTCATCAGCGGATTTCAACTCAGCGGTTGTTTATGTTAGAAGTTAGCTCGCTCAGGTTTGCAGAAGAAAACCCATTTCTCCCACAACCTGCAACTCCCCCCACTACCCCCCACGCCTACCCCACCCCCGCCGCCTCCCGCAGGCCCCGCTCTGCCCCGCTCTGCCCCTGCACTGTAGCCGGTGAGAGCCTCTAATCCCCTGCGTCCACGGTTTACTCTGAGCCCGTATTTAATTCCTCTAAACCCCCAGCTGCCGCCCTGCTTACTCACTGAACGCGACAGACTGCGGACCGCTGCGGTTATTAATAATTCACCAGCCTCCTCTGCTCTGCTCTCCTCCACGCGCGCAGTGCCGCGCCGCGCCGAACCGCGCCGCTCCTCCGGCCGCGGGACAAACCGCAGCGCAAACGCTCCCTCTCTCCTTCCCCCTGGTTGGCTGCGTGCGTGCGTTTGCAGCCGCGCCGTGTTTTTTTTTTTTTTTTTTTTTCCTTCGCCCCTTACTTTCCTGCACTTTGTTTACTCGGCTTCAGCTGCTCGGTGTCACTCACACGCCGCGGTCACGTCTTCCGTCGACTGGTCGCGGTTCTGCGATGAGCGTGATTTCGGGACGGGGAGCTCGGTCTGCCCGCGGACTCTGAGGGGAACAGGTGGAGGAAGAACCGCGCGCTTTCAGATCGGCGCACAGACGTAAAAGAAAAAGGAAAGGAAGAGAGAAAGAAAGGAAAAAGCGGAGGGATTGAGCGCATGCATGAAGGGAGAGAAAAGCGCCCGAATCTGCGGGAGCAACAGCTGATCGAGTGAGAGAGAGAGAGAGAGACAGAGAGAGATAAGGCGACTTACTGTCCGCATCCACCGCCTCGGGGCTCGTGACGGCGGCCGGGTCGGCGGTCGCTGCGTTCCGCTGCCGGGGGACCGACGGAGGTTCGATCATCGCGCTCAGCTGGGAGTTGGAATGTGACAGGAAAACAGGAGCTGGAAGCGAACAGAAAGAAAACTCTCCGGACGAAGAAAGCGGGTTCGGATAAGTAACGAAAGAGAGAGGGAGAGAGAGAGAGAAAGAGAGAGAGAGAGAAAGAGGTGTGTGTGGGGGGGAAGTTGACCCTCAGGCTCCCCCAGCATCGTAGAATGTTTACCGGGCAGCAGGCCGAGCATTAGGCCCAGCAGAACAAGAACCAGGCACTTTTCTATCTCCCACCTTTTTTTTTTTTTGCCTCTTTTTTTTCTGGAAGCTGAACTTTGGAAAGTGGAAAATGGCTCTTTGAGAGTGTTGGCACATTTCCCCACACCACAATGGTACGTGCTGTGTAAACTAATAATCTGCTCATTTCTCTGCACTTAATTGTATTTTTGCCATTTTCAAATATAAAAATCCAGATCATTCCTGTGCGCCAAGCCCCCACGGCCCTCCACCCCCAGCAGCCTCATCATTATGCAAAACTGTTTTTTTTCTTTTTGTTTGTTTTTTTGTTTTTAAATGATTTCCAAACTTTTTTCCCAAATCGGTGTGCAAGGAGCCCACCCAGAGCTGTTTCATCCACACTGAGAACCTGACTCCTCTCATTAGAGGAGTCCTAGAAGCGAGACAGTCTGCGCTATTTATAGCCATACGTACATATGAAGCGCACTATTGCGTGTCATGCAGAGTGAGGAAAGATGGGTTTAGGTTACAATGTGATACGTGAGGCGGCCCCTAGTTTGGAAAACTTGGATAAAAGACGGGCTACTCCGCTCTGCGCCAGTTCGACGTGCGCGTAATTACGCACAACGCTTGGGACTTTTTTGTTTGTTTGTTTGTTTTGTTTTTGTTTTGAATTTGTTTTTTTTTTTTTTTTTTTCACTACATTTCAAAAACTTACTTCAGATTCGTGCACATTGAAGTTCACAGCCTGAACTTCTTATTTTTATCAATTCAATAAAAATTTGTTTAAATTGGAAATCTTTGGGAGTTGTTTTAATTGACTGACGCAAAGTAGTGGCTTTGCAAAAAACAAAGGCTTTGCAAAAAAAAAAGTTTATTTCGCCAATAAAAATCATAATTAGTCACAGCTGCAGGTCTTTGGGGATACATAACTCTAGTTGTAAAAATCATTTAAGTTCAGTCAGTTTGGATGGAAAGCTCCTATAAAAATCAAATTCCCAGTCTTGCAAACAGATTCTTAATCAAATTTAGGCTTGGACTTTGACTGGGACACTCTTAACTAATGAATATACTTTGCTCTGAGCCATCGCTGTGTGTTTTAGTTTGGTTTCCTTGCGGTAAATTAAGCTTCCTGGTCTTGGGGTGATGATTTCATCCAACAGGTTTTCAACCAAAACTTCCCACCGACTCTGACCGGCTTTTCTGTCCATGCTGCAGAAAACCTTTGTTTCTGCCATGACCGCGTTCCACTGCGGCGATTGTGTGTTCAGGAAGATGTTTGCTGTTAGTTCTCTTCCACAGCTTTTTGCATGAAGGCCAGAAAGTTCTGTGTTGCTCACCTTATTATTATTACTCTTCAAAAAAGGGGCCAGGTTTAAACTATTGTGGTTTAGGAAGGCGACTGATTGTGTCTCTTCCCATTTTTCCAACAACAAACTGAACAGATTTTTGTTAGATGTTCAAAGCAGATATAGTTTTATAACCTCATCCTACAGAAGCCATCATGTCACCTGTCTGTTGAGTCTCTTGGTCTTCATATTGCTGTCTGTTCATTCATTTTCCCCGACACACATTGATTTAAGGAACACGCGTACGCTAGGCTGGTTTGCTCACTGGGCTCCATTGAAGGGTATCAAAGTGATATTTTAAAATGTCAGTATCATTTAAAATCATTTTTTTTATTTTTTTAAAGGGTTACGTCATGTTGTAATGTTATTCCCTCATCAAGAACGCGTGTTACTTTGATTCTACCGTTCGTGTTTGAGAAATTCTTTAATCTCCCGCGGCCACCTTTCAGCTGTGCGAAACGCCTCGCTGAAGCTAGCGACGCCGTTGAGGCAAAGCTTCTCCTTGGAGCTGCAGTTTCCAGATCGCTCGCCAGCAACTCAGCCTCTCAGCTCCTTCAGACTAGCCAGCAGCAATTAGCAAACACCAAGAGGAACTGTGCACCTGTGGATTTCGTTATGGTAGCTACTTCTCAGTGCAATGCTTGTTTAAAAATAATAATAATAAATTTATTACAGGGTTAACTGAGACGTGATGCTTTCATGACTTCCTGATGGAGTTTCAGAAAGTCCAGGAGTTTTTAAAGAGGCGGAGGCCCAATTTTGTGGTGTTAAAGTTTGAGGTAAAATTTCTTTTTACTTCTTATTTGATATGTAGAGAATATTATATCAACTGAAGGTAAAATAATTACTTGATTGTGGTATAAAATTGCTCTATGTGCCTGTACTGCCTCTTTAAAATAACGCATCCTTTATAATGTCTGAAAAAAGACAAATGATAAAGTTTATATTTGGAACGTGACAAAATATAAACTATTTAGAGGATGATTTTCTTAATATCCTGTTTTGTAGGATACATTGTGAGCAGATATTCAAATATTCAGAAAACGTCTTCCTCTTTTTATTTTTTTATTGGTTAAAAAATAAATAAAAAATGAGAGGCAAAACTCTCATATCTGGCCAGAACATATCCTTGACCCTCAGACGGACTCGTTCCTGGCATGAAATGAGTCGAGTCAGGCAGTAGTTAGAGGAACCTCCCACATACAACCTTGAAGCCGCTGCGATACCAGGGAGGGATCTTATTTGCACATGAATATGGAAGATTATTAGGATGAATAATTATTTGTTTATGAGCATCCTCGCTTGGCGTGGCAGTCGCCCAAGAAAGCTCATCAGTTAAAAATGATACAGAATTCAGGACAGGCCTCACATGGGATTATCTCCACTTGTTGTTCTCCTACTTCCAGCTCCTCTTTATTAAGTTATTTAATTAAAAAGAAAAAAAAATGTACAGACACAAAGTTGTGCCAGAACATTCCAACTGTACGTCGGTTTAGTCAGAGATGCACTGGAGGCAACTTGTCAATCAGTGTGGAGATGAATCCGTTTTCCCCCTGGTGATGAAGGTCCGACCCATGTTTGCATTCGGGGTCATTATCTGAGACATTCGCGAGTTCCAGATATTATCTTTGTAATTGCCGCAAGGTAAACAGAAACTGGTTTCTGTAAACCATCAGAGGTAATTATGATCTTTTAAGTCGCAAACGTACATGAATTAGACTTTGCATTTGGTTTATTCTCTTTTAAACATTGAGGTAAATGACGTGCTCATGTTGAGTTTGCCTTTAATACAAGATAAAACTGAAAAATACATAACTAATCCAGCAGTTTTCTTGAATTACAAGTTCAAGACACTTTTCGCACACATTGAAAAGTGATATTCAATATGTGTGTGTTCATGTGTGTGGATAGTGGTCTATATCACGCTCGGGCTGGAGGTTTTTTTCAGTCATGTGCATCTCGGTTTTGGCCGTTTCACTGCCTGTGATGTCATTCCTCACTGTATATACAGAATATGATGCCGTTCTGTTTGTCCTGGCCCCGGCGTCTCCTTGGAAAAATAAATAAGGCCCGAAGCCGGCTGGAATAGCTTATGTGGCGTGGAGCTTAAAGATGGAAAGTCTGATATAAGCTCAAACGGCACAAATCTCAGGATGGTGAGATCAGACCGCCTTGTAAGGTTGATTGGTTTTGAGATAATCAACTGGGTGGCTTTTTTTTGGATTTCATTTGGGAGTCAGTCGCATAAGGAAGTTTATAGGTTAAATCGGTGACAAGATTCCTATGAAGTTTGCAAAGTAATCTCCAGTTGTTGGATTGGACATGATTTGTGAGTTTTTTTTTTTTTTTTTTTTGAGAGCCACAAGTTGTTTGTCTCATTTGTGACTTGGTCTGAAAGAAATCAGTGAAGTTTTGTTCACTTGAATTCAATTTTTTGAAGAAATCAAACCCAGACATTTTACTTAGCAATTGAGTTCCGTTCAAAAATACTTTTTTGATCCCAAGGGAAAGATTGCATATGTTGTTACAAAGAGTTGTTGTAGACGCTGATAGCTAGTAAGAAGGTTCTCCTGTAGTAGGCGCCTCTGGCTGGAGACTGTTTTGCTAGACAGTCACAAGAAGATGCCCAGAATTGTCCATAACTGTCTTGATTTTATGTAAAATTTGCCAGAGGTTCCACAGTCATCCCCAGAAGAGAACCAGCCTTCTTTATCGGGTTATTGAGCCTTTTTCTGTCCCCGGTTCTGATGCTGCTGCCCCAACAGATGATGGACGAAGACAATAGACTTACAGAAGATCTGCAGCATCTTGCTGCAAACCTTGAATGATCTTAGCTTCTTCAAGTAGTCCAGTCTCCTCTGTCTCTTCTTATAAACGGCTTCACTGTTGCGTCTCCAGTCCAGTCTGTTGTCCAGATGAACACCGAGGTATTTATATTCTTCAACCACCTCCACTTCTTCTCCCGTGATGGAAGTAGGCTTTGACCTAACCCTTCTTTTGAAATCGACAAACGTCTCCTTGGTTTTGCTGGCATTCAAAATGAGATGATTGTTCCCACACCAGGACACAAAGCGGTCCGCCAGATCTTTGTACTCAGCCTCTTGTCCGTCTCTGAATCACCCGACAACTGCGGAGTCATCTGAGTATTTCTGCAGATGACAGGAGTCTGTTTTGTCCTAGAAGTCTGAAGTGTACGAAATGACGAGTCATGTTAAGAGTAGTCCCCTGCGGTGCTGCGGAGCCACTGACCACCTGGTTAGACCCACAGACCTTCAGCCTCAAACTGTGGTCTGTCTGTGAGGCAGTCATAGATCCAGGTGACTGTTGAGACGTCCACCTGTGTCTTCTGGAGTTTCTGGCAAAGCAAATCAGGCTGAATTGTATTCAATCCACCGATCAAATCAAAGGCGATGATCCTCACAGTCCTGCCTGCTCAGTCCAGACGACAGTGGGTTTGTGGAAAGAAGTCATCTTGAACTCCAACTCCACATGAGCAAACTGCAGGGCGTCCCGAGATGTGCCTGTTTTGTACCCAGGCGATCTCTCCAGGACCTTCTATGGCGTTTTAATGTAACTGACAGGAGATCTTGTTAAAGCTCAGATGTGTATGAACTGAAAGGCTGGCAGAACATGTTTGGTTTGAGTAAAGGTGTTTAGCAATCCTACACTTTAGTAAATTAAACATTTAGTCTTATTTTATATGGCTCAAACTCAGTCCAATCACACGACAACCTAAAGTTTGAACATTGCTTTTGATTATGCTTCATTTTTGTTATTAATTTCTCAAATGAATTGGTAAAGGCGCA